GCAGCCTGCTTTAACCAGGTCACCTCCAGCTGTACTCTAAGGAATCGCATCTCTCAGTTAACATGCGCCCTGCCTGTAATGCCAGGGAGAGACAAAATGGGCTCTCAATGTCTTTGTGCTGTATGTGAACAGGCGTGGCCCTGCTTGTGCTCCGAATAATACAAATACCCTGGTGTGCAGGAGGTGGTTGGACAGGAATGGATTTGTGCTCTGCCAATAAGTACTACCCTTCTTCAAATGGGAGCTGTTGCATTCTTGCTGCCACATGTTCTTAAGTGTATTTCTATTCTATGTATTGTTCCAATGAAGAATGCATAGCTGGCCCTCTCCCATCAGCCCCTGTGCTATGCAGTGCTGTGGTTATATGCCTGTTATGATACAAATTGCATGGGTAACTGCAGCCTGAGCAGCTGTTTAGCTGATTCACCATTCGAGAATAGAGCCCCCTGGTACAATCTTAACCTTTGTATTGCTGCACCTCTGCCACAGCTGGTGGATGCCATGCTCTGAAGCATTTTGATCATAGCTTACAGTGTACTTCATTGCAGATCCGAATCACCTACCAGTGGTGCAGGCATTAGCTGGACATTCTGTGAATTCAACAAAGGTTTAATTTGATACACAGGCAGTGCTGTGTTGCAGGAACTAAAATGCATTTCTCAATTACTCTTGGTCAAGTACACACCTGAAAAGTGTTAATGGCTCTGAAAGCCTTGATCTTTGAACTTCTAGAGCTCCTCCTTTGAAAGATGCAATTATTTCTTCACTTCTTAGGAGAAGGAGAAACTGCATTCAGCGTAATGCACATTAACGGTACATGGGGGAGACAGATTTATTATTGTCAGGGAAAGGATGTAGGCCATACCAGTAAATTCCTGCTCCGTGTGGAGAGATGTAATCTGGTTTGCGTCAAGAGGAATAAATTAAATATTGAAGACCCATTCCAGATTCAGCTTCAATAAAATCGCAGTATTGAGTTTTCTCACAACAACAAGAGACTCCTTTTGGAGGCCTAATGCTATGATTTTTTTAATTTAGACCTAGCCCTTAGAAGAACTTGCGCATACAGTATTGTACAGTGGCATGGTTTCAGGTCAAAAGCTCAGAGTATTTACATCCTTTTCAGAGTTTTGAATTACCCATTATGCTTTGGTGTTTGAAATGGTAACCAGATACATTCTCTACAGTTAGTGCAAACAAAAGGCATTCTCTTCGCCTTCAGAATGAAAATCAAACACTGCACTTCTTTCATAATCAAAGATTTGAACTGCCAAGCGTGAGGAGGGGTGCTTTGTTCGATTATACCAAAATCACCAAGTGCGGCTCATTCATTTTGATATCCTCATCCTCTCACACGAAACTGATTAAGTGCTGTTTTCTGGAGGGAGCCAACCAAAAGAAAACGGCAAACTACAACCACTCAAGAGAACTTAAAAGTAAAGTCTCCTTTTAGATCATGTGCTTTGTACCTATTGTGATCACATACGCAGAGGCCTAAAATCCAAAGTGTGCTGCTTCGTGTTGTGGGGTGTTTGATTGGCGTTTGCCATAGATAAAGTCAAAGACTCTTCTGCAGCTGCTGCTGCCAGCTCAATGGCCCTGTTCCGGAGTGGAAGAGCGCCCAGGCCGGCCCGTCGCAGGCGACAGCTCCTCACAGGGGGGCACTGCGAGTCCCCTTGGCGGCATCCATCCAAGCATGAAAGCGATTACCCATGGCTGCCAGTGCAGGCCTCTCACAGCGGGCAGATCTGGGCCAATCGCAGGCGAGCTCTCTGGCCGGGCTGGAGCATCCGAGTTGGGCAGCCATCGTCCACGAAATAACTCCTGACAGCCTGTCTGTGGTCTGGGTTTATCCTGGATGCAAGGCCTAGGGACGGGGCGTTTCAGAAGCCTTTCTTAAAAAGGGCACGCTTTCATTCGAAAGAGATCCTGGAAATCATCCGCCGATCATAGGTCCATACTAAGAGCAAAAACCGTAAAAACCCACCAGGTTTCATCCTAAACCATAGGCCTTTGAGTTGCAGTTCCCCTCTAGACAGCGTCTTACTAAACACTCTGAAATGCAGTCTCGCTCAGCAGCGTTGTTCTCTTACACTGCATCTTTTGTCTCACTCTGCCGTCTCGTAAAATCCCAAGTTGGTTTATTCTGATCAGTTCCGAAAGGCCTAAAAGCATATATACAGTGCAGAAAGAATGAAGTCATCCATTAAAAGGAATGTCGCAGCTCTCCACGGCCCATTGTGTTGGACTTGATCAGCATTCAGCACTGGTCTTTGTGAGGGAACCTCATTCCGTGCTAATCAGAGGCAGGCTGGCTGCTGTCTTCTCAGCTGGACCCTGGCAGTACCATGTGGGCATGGCTGAAGGAAGCACCGTTCGCATCACACTGCATCGCCGAGTGGCTCTGCATCCAAGCGGTCTGGTCAAATGCTTTTTCTTCCCACAATTCTTTTTGGCCTGTTTCATGAGGACCGTACAGACAGTGACAGTGGCCTGTGCCTTCCTCTCCTCCCAGCCTTATCTTCGCTCTTGTTTGCTGGTCTGTCTTCTGTTCCAGAGGTGATCGATCACTTAGACTGCTACCTGTCTCATGTGGATGAAATGCCGTTTTTATGACAGTAAAATATGCGTAACATTTCCACGCGTTTTCATGTTTTCTGAAGGAGCATAGCACCAGCCAGAGCAGAGAGGCCCCAGATCCTTCTGTGTACTGGGGAGGTGGGGAAGAAAGAAGGCTGTAATGTATTTCAAAATTACTGATCGATGTTTTGTACAGTATGTGGAGGGGGAGATCAATCCGATGAGGTTGGCCATTAACATTTCTACCTCTCATTAATAATGTGCTTGGTTAAACCATAAGCAAAAATGATTTAATGTGTGTCTGTGTGCAGACCGAGCTTGTGTGTGTGGTTTTTGTAAGTGTGTCTACAGGAGTTTTTTTTTCCCCGATTAATTTCATTTTTGAAAATTGGGTCTGAATGTTTGTGTACGCTGGTGAGATCTGTTCAGCAGGCTTCTTAATGTCAGTGATGAACGCCATTTGGCAGCTTTGAATACATTGAATTATTCATGAATATTACCAGAGGAAACCTTTGTGCACTAAGCTATTTGTATCGTTATAAGTGCTCATTTAAGGAATATCAGCCATGGACAATAATAGAAGTGGAAAACTTGCCCAGAGTTTTCTGTCCTTAAATTATAATGTGTTGCATTGTGTATGGCCTTTTTCTCTCACTTGCATACAACTGGAAACTCTGGTTTCTTTTAAAAATGTCTGGATGAGATCCTCAGATCAGTTAGTAACTAACTGCTGACAGAGAGCTTGTTGGGAGTAATGGGTTCTCACTGCCTGTACCTTGTACCTTGTACCTTTCACGCAGTCCTGGTATGTATGGACGCTTTTATTTTCCTAATCAAAAAATAAAAAACAAAATACAGTGGGATGAGCACAGCATGATGCAAAACAGATCTAAAAAAAGTTCTCAAAGGGGAGAGCAATTTAATATAGGCAGTATAGGACAAAAGTCTCTTTTCTGCTTTTATAACTAACAAGAAGAAAGGAGGAACAGATTCTTGCGGACTCTGCTGTTTAAATAAACTTCCTATTTTTCCACCTAAAAAAACTGAAATCAAGGTTTGAAGTAGTGAAATTAAGGTGGTCTTAAGTCCATTCCCAATGGCTTCTGTCAGAGTGATCTGGATGTTTAAAACCGCTTAAGACAATGGGTCATAATCATCTTTCTTATAGTTTTTAGCGTGAAAACTACTGCCCATAACCTGCCTGAGAGCTGCGTTTAGCTGCCACTGGCTGCTGTATGAGTGGCAGTGCCCGTCTCCTTGTCTCTGCCTGGCTGGTGTTGGCAGGAGGTTTGTTGTGCCCAGAGATCGCAATGTCTCCATGGAAACCAGGGAGCTGGGGAAGCAGGCGCTCGCGGGGCGAGGGCGTGATGGTAAACTGAGCAGACGGCACGCTCTGCCATCGAGAGCTCCGCTCCTGCTCCCGCCGAGATCAGGCAGCGGTTCCCGAGCAGCGGCCTTCGACATCAGGGCAGTTAAAGATGACAGAGTAGCTCCAGACTCAAACAAACCCTGGGGTTAAAGAAAAAAGGGCCTCCAGTCCTCTTCTGTGTAGTTTTCATTTGTTTTCTCAAGTTTGTGTTCAACTGTTGATTCTGAAGAAGCCCACAGGAGTAGGTTTGACTTTGTCAGCGTCCTCGAGGGTTTGGAATATGTGAGTCAGGTGCCCTCCTGGTCTTCTCTGTTCAAGACTGAGAAGGTTGAGTTCCTTCGTCCTGTCTATGTAGGACATTCCTTTCAGCTCCAGAATGTCTGGTTGCTTTTTCCCTTTTATGTGCATTAACCCGAGAAGACCGCCATTCATGCAGCAGCCCCCTTCTGTCATTTTTCTGGGGCTCACTTTTCACACACCTGGGCCACGCTCGAAACCCAGCCAGCTTCGTCTGTGAAAGCTTCGCGTTTGGGACGCAAATCGCAAGTCGTCTCAAGACGAACACGAAGCCTGCCTTCGGGAGCCGGGGGTTGTCTTGCCTGCGGCGCATGTTGGTCTTCGGCGCCGTTTCTGAATGAAAGCCAAAGTTCGGTCAGGTTTGCTCGGCTTTTCTTTCAAATTCTTTGCATCGGCTGAGCCGCATGCCTTTGTGTGAGAAGTTGTACGCCGTACCATGCTGAGGCAGCCTCCCACCTATGATTTAAGAAGTCCTCTTCTGGTTCCTGTGACAAGGGGAACCGGAGTGCAGTGCCATGGAAGAAAACGCAGTTGGCTTTGGGACAGAACCATGCAGGGATCCAGTGATCACCTACATGGTGTAAGGGTCTTAAAAGATCCTTGGCTTTTGGTCACATCAGAGCTCTTGGAAAGTCCTCAGGTAGAGGTTAAAGATGAGGCTTTTGTCTTCTGCCCTGATGCAGGTCTTTTCAGTTACAGAAAGCTCCTGCCGTGTCAGAATCTGGCTTCACCAAGGTCTTGTTTGTTTTTGCAGGAGCTGGGGTGTCGGACTGAGATGGTGGGCGAGCCAGAGACGCTTCCTCGGGCCTGAAGATCTTTTCCCCTCCAAAAGCACCAGGGACGTATCCCAGAAAGCGCAGCGCTCTCCTACTTAGCGCGTGGCTGGGGAGGGGAACCGAACGGATCGAGTCAACGTCATGGAACTAGGCCGGTCACCTGCTGTGCGATATTCCCTCGGCGGGTAGAAGGAGCCTTTTTTAAGAAGGGACAAAAATTAGAGGTAGAATCCGAGGGTAAAAAAAGAGGCGCTTGTGGTTTTCCCTCGCCAGCGCGAGAGGGGAGGGAGAGAGAGCGAGCGCTCGCAGGTGTTCCCAGCGGGTGAGCAGGCCCGTGCGGCGAGGATGACGGGGTGACGGGGCCGGAGCCGGGGGGGGGGGAGACGAAGCGAGACGAGACACCAGAGGGGGAGCGAGAGAGGGCCGGGAGGACTCGGCGCCACGTTTTCGCAGGCGGCGCGCAGGAGGAGGCGGAGCAGGCGAGGGGATCTGTGGCTGACGCTGTTCAGGATGACCAGCCTGTTCCGGCGCAGCAGTAGCAGCAGCGGCGGCGGCGGCAGCGGCGGCGGGAATGGCGGGGGCTCCAGGGGCGGCGGCGCGGCGCCCGCCGGCGAGCTCAACAACAGCCGGCCCGCCCGGCAGGTCAGGCGCCTGGAGTTCAACCAGGCCATGGAGGACTTCAAGACCATGTTCCCCAGCATGGACTACGAGGTCATCGAGTGCGTCCTGCGGGCCAACAACGGCGCGGTGGATGCCACCATCGACCAGCTGCTGCAGATGAGCATCGACGGGCCTGGCTCGACGGACAGCTCCGACTCCGAGGACAGCATCCCCCCTGAGGTGAGGGAGGCCTAAAGACGGCCCGGCTTTGTTTCCGAGGACGCTGGATCGAGGAAGCTGCGTCAGAATGCGTAGGCTGCTAAGGAACAGGTACAAAGTTCAGTCCTGTCCATGCTGGACGGAAAAGAGACAGCGTTTCGGCTGATGAAGACTCTTTTCCTTTCAGCATGGAATGAAACTTCACCTGTTCCTTTGGTTTGGTTTCTAATTGTTTTTATTCAAAACTGTGGAACGTCCCAACTACTCCTTTTGGTTTTTAATCTCAAATTTCAAAGTTCAGGACTTTTCCCAGGAGTTGGCTGTGCTGTCCATCCTACTCCTCTGAGCATCCCATCTGTCTGTCTGTTCATTAGTTCGTTCAGCAACATCAGTGTGGAACAATTCATTTTATTTGTTAGTGGTGATTCGGGGGAGGGGGTGGGTGAAATGTTTTGGTTGATGGCCTTTACAGGTTTTTTGTACACAATTTTAATTAGCCAGCTTGTTTCATGTACAATCCTGAGCAGACATGGAAAAAACTGGGTGTTATGCAGTGTAGGAATTTATTATCCTTTCCAGGAGAAATAAGTGTTTCTGTACAACCATTAAAAAACATTCACCTTTGCATTAATTATGAAAAATTACGTTGCAGAATGTAGAGAATTGATACAGAACTCGTGACTTGTGATGCTTTGAGACACGAACAGAAACAGTTGATGAGGATGATCTGGGTCTGCAATTGTGAATACCTGCAGATACAAGAATCCACTGACATAGCTCCAGCCCCTGCAACCTCTGCTTATTATGAGGTATTCTGGGATATTCTTGGAGCCTGACAACTGAACGTCACTCTAATGCAAAGCATTAAGCTCGAGTTTCATGAGCCTCCGAGTGGAGATGCGGGGCTGTTCATAATAAATTGATTTGATCGCAAGTCAGGCATAAAACTAAATTCACTTTAGATGCCAGGCATTGGTTTCGCCTCCCTGCCTTGGCCTCCAGTTTTAATGTTTGCACTGTTGACTCACTTCTGAAGGCTTTGTGTAAATAGAATGTTGTCCTCTGCCTTGATTTCACTGCAGCAGAGTGTGCAGAGATGCATGTTCCAGGTCAGCATTATAAGGCTGTAAATCGGAAGTAATCTGTTCAGGGACGGTTATCTTGTGAGCCCCTTTGGGGTCCACAAAGAAACTCAGGGGATTCCCCAGAACAGGCGAGGAACATTTCGGTCCCAAGACTCGAGTCAATCATGTCTCTTAATAGTAGAAATCAATAGCCGATGTTAACTTAGGATCTGTTTCTCTGCTGTTCCGCTTTGTGAGCTAATGTTTATCTGAACCTGGTATCTTGTTTGTAGGCTTGCACTGTGGAGTATATTCATTCTAATCCAGTTGAAGCTTCTAAAGCTCTTTCTGCCACCCAGTCTGGAGACAAGCACGCTGTGTCATCTCGTTCGATTCACTCTTCGATCCCGCCTTCATCAGACTCTTCCTCTCCTTATGTGCCTCTCATGTTTTCCAGATTCTGGAGCGCACTCTAGAGCCAGACAGCTCTGATGAGGAGCCCCCCCCAGTTTACTCCCCACCCACCTACGACATGCACATCTATGACAGGAAGTACCCTGAGGCCCCACCCACCCCACCTCCCAGGTAAACAGGAAGGGGTGGGCTTACAGCCATGAGGCGCTGAGGAGAGGGAGTTTGAAGGGCAGCTGGCAGGGAAGAAATATTAATAACTGAATAAGAGAGATTCATTTCCAAGGCCTAGAGCAAAGAAAGAGTGGGGGCGGGAAATGAAAAAGGCTGAAACAGAGATTTAAATTTTGAACTTTATTCACTTTGCTTAATGGGCTTATTAGCCAAATCTTTGTGCAATGGTGAAGCTGCATACTGCAGAACTAGGCCATGTAAATGTTAATAATTATAACACGTACTAAAAAGACATAATAAAAATGCATTAAGGGAGCGAGTAGTAACAGAGGTTTAAAACTATATTCTAGTTCTATGCATATTTACCAAGAAATAGGTCAGTTTTGTTTATGGCACCATCTGGTGTTAGTTTGGGGCAATTACAGCTCCTGGTCTCCTGGCTGGGAGGGCCCTGTCAGTGACAGAGATAACCGCTATGAGTCACCCGACCTGACAGGTAATGAAGCTCTAGATCACACGGCTGCAGAGGAGAGCTGACCACATCTGCACTCCCCTCTCATCACTATCTGTTTCAGCAGTGGGTTCAAGGATGGGAGGGAGAAGGCAGTCTGAGAGCAGGCCCCGGCAGTGGGATTTAGGGGGAAGGCACAACCTGGGGATGAGTGGGGGTTAATTGTGCTCAAGCCCGATGCGCTCAGGGTATTGCTGGGGAGGCTTCCTCCTGCCGGCTGGGGGGCTAGGCTAGGCTGCGAGAGGTAGCGAGACCCCAGCGACGCCTTTTGCTTCCCCGCAGGTTTGACGCCCTGCCCCCTGCAGCCACGCGGCCCCAGCGCAGCTACAGGAACTGGAATCCTCCGCTGCTCGGCAACCTGCCAGACGACTTTCTGCGCATCCTTCCCCAGCAGATGGACAGTGTGCAGGTACCAGTCGTCCACGTTCCTTCACTGCTCTGCAGGGAGCAATACGCCTTTTGATGCATCAGAAGGCATTGTGGTGTACTGGCTAGGAATCTGGACCAGAGAGATGCAGATTCGAATCTCAGGTGGAGTGCTGCTATTATACCCTTAAACAAGGTATTGGATTCCTCTTGCTCCAGTAAATACCCTCTATGCCTGGGGCATCCAGAACTTCTCCTCAACTGGCGTAGTAAAATAAAAGAGAATAAAGCCAGAGACCTCCTGCAGCTGTCTTTGCATGTGCCATTCCTGATATGTGTGACTCCTTTAAATCTCTGGATCCTTCGGCCCAAATTGTCTCATTTACAAAAAACGGCTAGATGGGCTGAATGATCTCTTCTTGTTTGTTACTTCGTACCTTTTCATCTGTTGGAAAGTTGTTTCTATTTTTCCTTTCTTGTGCAAGGGGAAGCCGTCAGTAGATACTGTCGGACTACCAAGGGCAAGCTTTCCCAATTTGGGCAAAACCCTTAAGATGGATTCTGATCAGAACTAACTCAAGGGCTGAATAACTTTTCTTTTACCCAAGAGGGTTTATTTTACCAGCAGCATGCTTGGCGTTTGGCGAGTGATGCGGTGGTCAGCGGTGCCAGGGGTTCGACCAGCGTTTGATCAGTTCTCATGTCTGTCCCCTCCCAGAAGTCTCAGGGGGGCCTCCCCCCGCCGGCCTCGTCATCTTCGTCGTCGTCGTCGTCGTCGGTAACGCAGCAGTTGGCGCCGGTGACCGTGGCTACAGAGCAGGAGAGGAAGCTGAAGCAGTACCTGGAGGACGAGCGCATCGCCCTCTTCCTGCAGAACGAGGAGTTCATGAGGGAGCTGCAGCGCAACCGCGAGTTCCTCATTGCGCTGGAGAGAGGTGGGGCGGGCCCCCAAGCCCGGCACTGGTTTCTGGCAGGGTGGGGGGCCACCCTGTGTAACCTGAGCCCATCAGAGCTCCATCTTGCCATGAACTGCCTTTAGGGTGTGTGGCAATATAAAAGAGTCAGCCCAGGTGCTTGAGAGCCCTCTTTACTGATGTGAGGCAGTGGGCAACGACGGTTCAGTCTCTTTTACATCATCGCACAAGCCTTCTGCTTCGGTCTCGTCTGTCTTTCCCATCACTTCAACGTCCTGCGTAGTAAAAATGTAAAAATTCGACTTTGCAGTCAGCAGTGTCATTGCCGAATTGTCTGCTTTGATGTCTCATTAAGCTGGTGTTTTCTCGTTGCAAATTGACCAACGCTTTCGCTTTTGGCAGGACAACTCACAGCCACTTCTGCAACGTTATCGCTGGTGTCCAGTTACCCAGCTTCCGCACTCTTAACGGGCGCCGTTTGGGGCAGAGATCCCCGACGTAGTTGTAACCTGGTCACAAAATTAAGCCTGGAGCTGCTGACTCTGCTGCCCACTGTCTTGTTCTGTCATTGCCATCATAACATCCATTCTCTCTGTTTTAGATCGGCTGAAGTATGAATCAAAGAAATCCCGATCCAATCATTCATCAGCTAGCATGGAGAATTCCACAGCAGGTAGATATCATTTAATTCTCCAGCCCACCACCCAGCCTCGCTGCAGCTATTTTTCCAAGTGAACTGCAGTGTCACGCCAGTGGCTGTAATTCCTGTGATCTTAAACACAGCACAGCTTCTGCATATGGACGTTTATTACGCATCAAGTTTCTTTATCTTGCAAATTAAAAGTTAAATGATCATTGGGCCAAATTGTGCAGTGGCCTTTTTCAGAATCCAGTGCACAAATCTTAAAGAAATAAGTCACAGTAGTCTTCGTCTGATGTACCACAACCCATTTTTGTGTTCCGCCGTGTGCTAAGATTTCTTCCAAGCTTACCAATTCCCAGGCCTGTGAGGACCATCATGTGCTTGTCGTGCCGATGCAATTAGCGTGTAACCATTAAAGATTTCATACCTTTTGTGACTGTTAAGGGTTGAATAAAGGTATAGCTAAAGACTTGAAAGAGCTGGGACACAGGGTTTGCCATTGTTCATTTTGATTTCGTAGGACACCTGCATGGTCTTCTAAGAGACCTTCAGTGGGTCAAGTGTAGAACAGTTCACTAGCAAGACCTTGTTTAGAGAACTGTGCCGATTTAGTCACTGCGTTACATAAAATATTGCCACTTTGCAAATTGGTCCAGAGAAAAGTCACCAAATTACATGAATTGAAGCTTTGTAGTCTCGCAAAGAATTCAACAATTCAGATTTAAAATTCTCAGTGCTTTTCGTTAGGACGAGCAAGGAAACATGAAATAGAGGACACAGACGCAGAACGCATTTAAATCTGAGGACAGGAGACACTTCTTAACCAAAAGGGCAATGTGTGGGACAGGCTTTCCCAGCCTTGTTGTTGAAGTTGATACCTTGGCTTCCTTCAAGAAAACACTAGTGGATAAAGTCATTAGATCTGAGGGATATTAATGATGGGTTGGAAGGCCTCCTCTCTTTGTAACCTTTATGATCCAAGATCATGCTGCTTGGCAAGGAGACCCATGCAGTAGGAGGGTATTTCATGTTCACACTGAAGTTGGTTCATATATGGTCTCAAAGGCATCTCACGGCTGCGAAGCACCATTAGGAATTTGTTGCAAACTTTTGCAAAGGCCCCACCTTCGTGCATCTTCCCCTTGACCCCCTCTTCACCCTTGTAGCGGCTCCCTGATTCATTCCTTGCAGAGACAGGGGGTCCTATGCCTCATCCTTAGGGTCAGGTTGCTAATTCCTTAGACTAGTGAGTTCTGCCATATAAAGAGGAAGAGTCTGAATTATGTCTGTAACACAGACTGTGTAGCATACCATGGTACTGTTGAATCAGAAGTAAAAACAGTACATAGAGCTTAGGTAACTTTATATGATGTATTTTACAAAGTTAACAACCATAAATGCTGAGCAAGCTCAATAAACACGGCCCTGAATTGCTAAATCTTTAAGCCTGTGAACTTCTCATTTAAAGATATTCAAACCAGGCTCTCATTATGCACTCTTTTACAGCCTTCGTTTTCAGTGTCCTGATAATGTACTGGGTTTTAAAATCACTTCAGCTGGAGAATGTCTGATCGGGGGAGCAACTCCATCTGGATTCTTATTGGTCAATACCGTCTCGGCAGACCAAAAGTTCGCTCAGAGGAGGAAAATGCATATCTGCACTACTTATACTCTGTCCAGCATCAGATCACCAGTTCTGTAACTGACTCCAGTGGTAGCTATTATGACATCATAATGACCCTGCACTCAGCACCTGGGTTACATCTCCTGCTGCCTGCAGCCACACATGGGCAGTTAAAGCTAGAAATGCACCTGACGTTGTCCAGGCCTGTGTGTCTGTTAGCCCATTTCTGTGTCACATTAGTGTGTTTGTTGCAGGTGATCTTTGTGCCTCGGGATCCGGGGAGGCCTGTACTGCCGTCTCGGATGATGCCTTGTTCCGAGATAAGCTCAAGCACATGGGAAAATGTAAGTGTCCTCTTTTTTGGGTCTGGAGACTGAATACATTCCTTTTCTATTTCTGCTTATCCTAGAGTCCCCTGGGCATTTCATTCTGGTTGTGAATCATTTGCTAGCGAGAGGTTGCCTACACTGGTTTAGTTTTCCTTTCTTGCTTTTGTTATATATGTATTTGTTCAAATGCGAGTTGCATCGGCAAGAGGCTGAAAAGGACAGAAGTCAAGGTTTCAAGAGGGATTGTGTACCCCACAGCAGGAAAGCAGTATCCAGTTTGTGTTGTGCTTTTAAATTCAGCCTTTCTTGACCTGTAAGGTATTGCACTGCGTATCTCCTGTGTCATCATGAGTAGAAATGTGTGGACAAGCACTCGGCACATTTACAGGATACACTCGCAGGTCATACAAGAAGGAGGTGTAGGGGTGCCGGAAGTTAATTTTGGGGTTCAGTGAATTTCAAAATCAGTTTTATTTCAAAAGGCCTCCCAGAGAGTTTAGCAGAGAGACCCTGTCATTCTCTCAGAGACCACCTCTGAAAGCGTAGGCCATTTCCTTTGGTGCTTTGTATAACGCGGATACAGCATGAGGGGGCTCCTGTGTTACCGTGAACATTGTTTTACAGGAGACACATACAGAATCGATAGATCTGGACATTGAAAACATCACAAGTCCAGCTGTCAAACATGTTTAGCCTAAATACAGAGCAATCAAAGCCAGAGTCGCTAGAGGTGTCCTGCCTGCCGACTCTCTTAAACACAAGAGCTGAGCATGACCGAATTCTACAGAGATAATGATACTGCCTGTGCCTTCAGGATAGTCTGCAATTAGGAGAGGTCTGTTTGGTCCTGTTCCGTCATTGCCTCCAAGTTGTGTCTGACCGAATGCTGTGCTCTGCAGCTACCAGGAAGAAGCTTTTTGAAATCGCGAGGGCTTTCTCCGAGAAGACCAAAAGGAGGAAGACAAAGAGAAGAACTCTGAAACACCAGTCGTATCCTTGTTCCTTCCTCTCCTCGGGCTGGACCGGGGCTTCCTGAAACTTGCCTTTGAGAGTGATGGTCCGCTGAAAGAGTTCTACCTGCCCAGATGTTGCAGCCCAGGTCTGGTTGACATTATAGTTATAGAACACATAGCCACTGTATGGATGTATGGATGTATGGATGCAGTAGACTTCACTGAAGAGATATAGGTTTGCTTGGCTGAAACCGTATCAGATACATCACATCACATTTTCTTAGGCTCTCAGCCGATCTTAACATCATTGTTATAATCTGGGAGCATCAGGACCTCCAAAAGTGCTTCCAAGCCCATTGTGTTTTTTTTGGAAGTCCAGTCACAGTATTGCATATTGACACACTTGAAATGGCCTTTGTTTATACCAGGAAATGTTCAGCAGTCAGTTGTCTTGACTTTGTTTTTGTCTTTAACCGCCTCTCTCAGGCTGGGCACGGCAGCCTCCACTGCAAACCTTTTAGACGACGTTGAAGGAAACTCCTGTGGTAAAATGCTGAGCTACGGCTCTTTTAAACCGCTTCTATCGCCATCGTGGTAATGCTGAAAGCAAAAACAGTCAACGAAGTGTTGCCGACATATTACAATTATTTAAAGCATTCTTTATAGTTTGTGCAAGGGGCAGTTCATGCAGCGCTATCTGTTCGTAAGGTTTAATCTGAAATAGGATACAAGGAGAAAATGGGGGGGAAATATGAACTTGGTACATGTTTGAACTCAGTGCGATTTACATTGTTTAAAGCTAAACCCAGAGTGTAGCACTACAATACTATACCACTGTGCCCCAGGAGGCCAGCAGAGCTAAGTGTTCGTCTGCAGGTCCCAGTTTAACCCGAACACCCCGTCTCTGTCTCTGTCCCAGAAGAAGAGGGCCAGCAAAGACGTCAAGTCGCTCAGGAAGAGGAGCAGCTTCACAAGGAAGCATTGTCATGGTGAGACAGAGCTCAGATTCCTTGATCCATCTGCAGCGATTGCATCGATTCATCACTGGCTCCTTGAGATCCACTTTGAGGATCGGGTGACCCATTTCAGTCAATTTTACGTGGTTAATCTGTGGCGCCATGATGTTGATTAGCATATACACACACACAGTTCATCACTCTGGACTGTAGGGTGGGCTCGACAGTGAACACATTTGGGAAAAGGTATGCCCGCTACTGCATTAAACCAATTTCTACGTTTAACAGTTATCAGCAGCTACTATATATCGCCCTGCAACTCGCAACTGGCAGCCCGCTGCAGCTCAGCAGGTGTGAGCCTGGTCAGTACCTGGATGGGAGACCTCCTGGGAAAGCTAAGGTTGCTGCTGGAAGAGGTGTTAGTGGGGCCAGTAGGTCACCCTGCAGTCTGAGTGGGTCCTAATGCCCCGGTATAGTGACAGGCGGTAAAAAATGGCGCCATCTTTCAAGTGAGATGTAAAACCGAGGTCCTGACTCTCCATGGCCATTAAAAATCCCAGGGAATTTCTCAAAAAGAGTAGGGGTGTTCACCCTGGCCAACTTCCTCCCTGGCCTTTACCAGCTATGGCCTCCTAATAATCTCCTTGTCTGAACTGGTTTCGTTACTGTTTTCCACCCCACTGTTAGTTGGTGTGTGGTGAGCGTACTGGTGCTCTCTGGCTGTCTTCGCCTCGTCCAGGTGTGGAGTCCAGAGGGAACTGAACTGTGGCTTTGAAGCTCTTTCGCACTTTGTTGAAGGTTTTTTTTTTTGTATAAAATCTGAAACTTACATGCAAAACTAGTGGAATGACCATACAACAGCTCAGTAAATAGGCAGCATTAGAGGTAAAAGTAAAGTGTTGTTACACTTCTTTGCTTCATGGTGCGTTTTCAAAGGAATGAGTAAAGCACCCCTTTGTACAGTAGAGAGCGACCAGTGCTGTATTTAAATGCCGCGGTGGGGAAGTGGGCCCTGTTCTGAAAGATCTACTGGTTGTAGTTGCATTAGGCTCTGCTCGTCTGGCTGACCCAGGTTCTTCCTGCGCTTATTGCTTTCAGATCTTTCCTGACCTGGCCACTTCAGGGTTTCCATGGTGACAGCAAAATGACCCATGGGCGGTGACATGGCAGCTCACTTGCCTCCTCCTCCTGTATGCTGGCCAGCCAATCGTGGGCAACCTCATGGGAATATATACCCTTCCTACCACACCTACAGTGGAAGGAACACCACAGCCCCCTGCACTGAGCTAGCAGAGCATCTCTCTGGTTCTGGACTAATACCTTCATTTTCTTTTTTTATGCTTTAAATCCTCTTTGATTTTGAAATATAAATCAAGCAAACCCCTTTACCATGTCATAGAATTGTTTTCAATGTTATTACCCTATATTTAAACACCAGAAAGGCTCTACAGGAATCTGCCTGGATGTTACTGGGATAGCCTTAATCCTTGGCTATCTGGGGAGATAACCAGATGCCCAAGTTAATGAGACAGTAAATTCTCATTGTTTGTAATCAAATGCATGCAGCCATGCACTCTGCATCAGTGCTGAAACTCGCACAAGAGTTTGTGAAATTCAGTGAGGTTCCACTAATCTTTTGTCTGGCTTTTAACATTGTGAAGATGGACTGATTCCGATGGCAAAACTGGGGAGATACTGACTTTGTTGGAGCCAGACACTGTCTACACACAGGTGAAAACTCTTCCCAACTCCTGATGTGCCACTGTACTGCAGGTGCTGTTCTGAATCTAATTTTAATAACAAAATGACATCTGGCAGGTCAGAGAGTGGAGCCTGCTTAGAAGTATCTTGAGATGCCATACACCTGTTTGCAATGTACATTAAAATTCCAGCATAGCTGAAGCTCTCTCATGTTTAGGGGAAATTGTGTTTCCATTGGTCCGTGTAAGTTTCATTAATCTACACTTTTGACATATTTCTGCAGGCTGGTCCCAGGTTCCCGTCCAGCACTCTAAATAACACTCGTTGAACTCAACATATTCAGATGAAATAGCATTGTCATATCCTCAATATTCCTGGACTGTTGTTAAGTGTAGCTTTCATATCATTAAAACAACATTATCACCAGAGAGAGATGTTCCATTAGACAGAAGCAAGTATTTTTATTGTTGTTAGAATTGTAATTACTAGGTATATTTTTAGCTCAAAGCCAGTAATACTAGTAACTGACAGCTGTGCATTTTCTGTAGTCGAACAAAGAATTTCTCAGCTGAAAATGAGAAGACAGGAGAAAGCTTTCCAATCTTTGAACCATGCCTCTGTGAGGACTGCAGTGTGAATATGAATAAGATACAGTTTGATGTATCTGCAAAACCAGGGAGTGTCGCTTAAAAAATGGCTTTTGAATGCGACACTGTATAGGAAGGAGCTGGATTCATGTGGCAGAATGCTCTGTGGCACCCCTCTCCCCCACCATCCTAAAGAAAGAGGAATGAAGTGAAAATATAAAAAAAAATATTGCTGCCTTATTTTCACTGCAGACTCTTTAAGGCACTGAATGCACAGGATGGTGATTGTGTGTGTGCAGCGCAGTACCAAGCACACCAAACAGACTCTGATGCAGCAGGTTCTCTTGTAGAGAGCCTGAAATTCATACCCCATAAGTGGATGTGCTGGGAGGTGACAGGACTGTTCCACTGTGTGTGGAGAGGCTAGGGCTCAGCACCATGCTGGAATGAGGCTTTCATACTGGCCACCAGCATAATGATATATCGTAGAGCTCTTATGCATTGCTGTTACAAGCTGGAAAGAAGCACACTACAGTGTGCAATGCCTCTGTAGCTCTAGTCGGGTGGCATGCAGTGGAGCTCTGCCTTCTTTCTGCACTGTGGTATGCTAAACCCTGAGAAACAAAGTCGTGTGCCTCTGGCTCCCAGCATGCAGAGGCATTACTGTGCAGTACCGTGTGCCCAACCCCTCAAACCCAAAGCTACAGTCACTCCGGTCATCAGGACTGGTTCTTTGCACTTTGCAATTTGTGTGCCGAAAACATTCATATCACTGGCACAGGAAAGGCGATGAAATGGGGCCAGTTGGAAGAGCAGGCAGTCAGGTTCTCTTAAGCAGGCACAACTACCTCCTAGCTGCCGGGTGCTTGCAAAGCCGTCCAGAAAGCTTTTTTTATTCCAGCTTTTTTTGGGGACACACCTAACCAAAAGAGCAGATATTAATGGGTCTGCCGTTTGTTGCTGGATCTCCTTCTTCAGAATAATACCAGGGTCAGCCTATCATAGATTTCTCTGTCCCTGGGAAGGTTACATCGATAGCTTCTCATTTCTGGTTGCCGTTTTAGTTTTTGGCTTGAGAAATTGGTGGAAACCTTTGCCAATTTGAGATGTGTTTGGTTGCCTTTTGTAGAGTACGCCGAGGTGCTGAATGACTGCTTATTTTTTACATCTTCCAGAATGAGTCAGTGATTTCTGATACCAGACCCCTCTCATCACAGGATGTCCTTAATGGTGCTGACTCCTCACCTGAAGCTGGGTCTTTTCTGCTCTGTCTCAGGTGATGGGGAAAATGTCTTCCATATCAAAGACATTCACCACAACTCAGCTACGAAATCACAGGTGGCACAGGGCAGCACATCACACGTCCTGTACAGTCTTCAAAAGATTTGTCTGTTGTCTGTGTGAGGGCATGTATGTATTTTGTCAGCTGGTAACAGCAAAAGTGGAGCTGATCTTCAGCATCTTCTGTTTATTACTCTTATTCTGTAGCCCAGATTGTGATCTTGAAGTCAGGGGCCTGTTTGTATCTGCCCTGTCAAGTGAATTGGATCTAGATTGACCTGTCACACTATTCTGATGGCTGAGAACTTTTTTATTCATGTAAAAACAGCTCTGTAAATGGACACTATTACTATTAGCTGTCCCAAGTGTTAATACTGAGACAACTGTATCTAATGTGTTGTGATAAGCTTCCTTTAATTGTTTAAACAATTGTTAGTACTTTGTATACTGAGTTTAAAGGTACACAGTTCTTATATTACTACTTCACCATGGGATGAGTGTGAACTTTATTTTTTAACAGCCCACACCTTTTTCCCCTCCAACACACAGGCAGAAGATAAATTTTAAGTACGGTTCTTACTGTACCAACCAGTCCCAGTGTCCATTGTGTACTGCATTTCTGGAAAAATGGCATCGGACCAGTAGAGACTTTGTGCCGATTTTAACATGCAGAACAGACACTCTGGAAACAGGGGCTGCAATGTTTCTTTGGACCTGGGATAAATTACTAAAGTAGTCTCTGCAGTTCCTGTGATCAGACCCAATATTTTTATTTTAATTAAATTGAATTAAATGAGCCGAACAACCGGTCTCTCATTTGAACCGATTCTGGTATTACGCTGACATCCGAGGATATGGCGTTCGGTACCAGTTCAGATACTGCATGCATGTCTGCTCGTGAGTGATTCTTTTTAACAGTCTCAAACAGCTCTACGGTGGTCATTTTCGTCGATGGGCTGAAACCCTAGCAAATTCCATTCAGTTAAAAAAAACATTTGCAAGTGCATCCTTTGAGTTTGGGAATTCTGTGTGGATTGTGCAATACCAGCAACAAGTATGATTGCTTAATGGTACTGCTTTGTGGAACAGCAGAGCCACATCTTAAATCTTATGGGCTACTTCAGCTGTTCAGCCTGGGTTTGCATGGAAAACACACATGCAGTTTTTATGTGAATCCTGTAGTGGGCAGCATTAACAAAGACTTGCCTGCATGCACAGGGTTTTTATGTGGAAGTTAGATGTTTTTATATTACGATAGGACTAATTAGCCACCATGCAACATTGTAGGTAAATGTATCCTCTCAGGGAATTTCTCTCTCCTTTGTTGGTAAAGGTTTTGTTCACCATCGGGTACAAGCAGCACAAGGACATAAATATAAGCCACCAACCTGGAATGTCCACATGGCAAAACTTAAGAAAATACATTTTGTACAGCACCTGCTCTGCTCAGGATGGAGCTGTGTGAATTTGTCAAGCTCGGTCTCCATTTTTCAGCTAGCGTGTAGAGGCATAAACTACTACATCCAGTTTGAATGGACTGAACACCACAATGTAGGTTTCACCCAGCTACACTGTCCAGCATTGTTGGTTTAAATCAGTTACACCTATCCATGTCCGATTGAAACTCAAGAGCTCAGTTCCAGCTATAGATTCGTTTGTACTGCATAGCATGGATGTATACAAGCCAACAGGACCACCACTAGCCTGTGTAGCACGCAGTAATGCATCATCTAAATCGGGCATTCTCAGCCCCTGACTTGGAGCTGGGGATCCCTATATCTGATTTTTGTTCCAAATGACTCAATCACTGGTGCCAATTCACCTTTCATTGAGCTACTCGCTCATTAAGCCCCATTTACTTCTCTACTCCATCCTTGGTTTTCAAAATACTGTGCATACTCTAGCGTTACTGTCCCAGCACGAATTAGTCCACGATATTTGTGCCGTTTGCAGTGCTCCAGTTGGATACTTTTCAGGTAGCACGCCATGGTATCAATGCTGGGCTGTTCTGCCATTTCAAAACCCTTTAAACTTCTTTTAGGCCCGAAAGCCAGTTTAAAAATGGGTCACTGTGGCAGATCCACCCTTTGAAGTTAGCGCAACACAGTAAAAACCCTAACGAAAGAAATTAATCCAGGGAACCAGCCCGATTTTACGCTCACTTCCCTATCTTATATAAACCTAACTTCGAAGTTACTGTTTTTTTTAACGTAATATAATAGAAATCCTAGGTGTACCCTAAACCAGTAGCAGTGGGAAATTCCCTCAGTCGGTCGATTCCGTTTGGCCGGGGACGCTATTTAACCGTCTTCCTTCTTACCTGCGACCCGACACGGAAAGCGACCGAAGCTGCTACTGTTTAAACTTGTTTATTCCCTCATTGGAGTATTTCAGACTCCTTAAGAATCCTCCTAAAAAAACTCTAGCTCTCCCTGGGATATTTAAAACTCACAGCCCCTTTTCCAGGTGACAGTGAGGGTCATGTAGACGAGGCTGGATCGCCAGTCAATCCTTATATAGGGATCTGGCGTTCGCAGGTGCAGGCGGTTTGCCGATTTCCTCGGGAGAATGAAAGGTATGCATTTCTATCATTGGTGCTCCGTCGCCGTCTGGCGGCTTAGACCTGGTTGTTCAGCTCAAATTCGACCCCTATGCTACAGCCCCAGAAAACGGAACAAAAAAAAAAAAACAGATACAGGCATCCACCAGGAACAGGGTTGGGAGTCACTGTTCTAAACAGAGGTTGTCTTTACTGACCACTTTTATGCCGTATAGTATAGTCCGTGAAAACAAGACTGGTTTGATTGGGGGGTCATCATTTCTTACAACTGAACAGAATAACTAATGAATCCAGGTGTTTGTGCTGGAGTTCAGGCTGGAGGTGATCCTGGGACATGGCCTGTGAAATCCCTTGGTTGACGATGACCACTTCAGTTAAACCTCAGACACGGGTCAGGTACACTCATTAAGTGGATAGATCCCCTGGCACAGCAAGCAGTGCGTTTCAACTCCAAAAACCTCCTATTTATCTTTGCGCTTCATGTGACTGGAGCTCTCTCTGCTGGTGGGGTTGATTTCTGAATGTACTGATAATAGATTAAGCCAGTTTAGCATCTTGCCACAGACAGAACGCTTGTTTACAGTCGAAATGGCAACCAGAAGGGTGTTCTCAGCGAGTTTGTTTTTAAGCATTTACTCAAGAACTGACGAGACTGCAACCATGAAAAAAGTGGGAGACTATAGATTGTTTTTTTTACAAAACTGGAATTAGAAATTATAATTAGAAAAAAAAATCGTTTTGAAGAAGATGCAGAGATTTAATGCCTAAACTTATTTCCTGGATGAAATAAATGAGACAGAATTAAAACATTTTAATTTCCTATAACGTCTCCAAAAAAAAATGTGTGTGAAGGTTCTGTGTGTGATTGTTGTACTTTCATGATTATTTTCAGATCTGATCTTTCTTACACTTAAAAGATGTTTATTAGCTATTGATATAATAAAGTTGTGTTGTACCCTCCTCAGTGGTTACCTTATTTATCACTAACTTATCCAGCCTCATAGACCCATCTGTTCTGTTCACTGGAATATGAAGTCATGCGCTTCAGTTGTGGCTGATTCATCAGTTTCAGCACAGGGTGAAGTGCTGGCTCTCCAAATAGTACTGCAGAAAGGGTAAAAATAGCAACAAGACTTTTTGCAATTCAGATTCAGCACAAGTGACAAGGCACTGCACATTGGAGCCACTAAGTGGCGCTGTGCCCTAAAGTTAAAAACTGGCCAACGCTAGGACCTGCATGCCTTTGGCCCAGTAGAAAGCATGGAGTACTGCTGAGGTATTGCGGTGTATGAATTTTCAGGGAAAATAAATCCGTGCTGAAAGCAGATCATTGGCTTTAGTTTTTAAACAGGATACAGTCCTGGATCGGGGGGAATCAAAATGCAGTTTACGTACTTATTCGCGATTATTATCCCAAAACCTAGAGGCAAGCATTGATATCAAGTTGCTGATCTAGCCATAATCTGAAATACCCACATCCGATCAGTGCCTTTTTGGGACATGAAAAGTCAAAAAGAAAACTGTACCATGGTATACAGCTGGACAACTGTTCTTACACTTTTATTCAGCTGAAGAAGGTAAAAAATCCGTCGAAGCCCGGTAGATTTACTATAGAAAGGTAAGCACAAACAAAACACAGCATGAAAAATACCATAATTGTGGCTGCCTGCAGAAATCGGTGAGCTCTGTCTTGCTGATCTTGCTGCGGGGGTGTGGCCTGTAGCTCAGGGAGTCTGGTATCAGAACGTCACAGAGGTCAGGTCCACGTCGCCATCCACCTCCAGGATGTCGATCTTCTGCAGCTCGGAGACGCGATGGCGGTAGGTGAACACCTGACTGCTGTTCACTGCCACAGAGTAGCACTGACTATCGCACATAATTACCACCTGCGAGACAGAACACAGGCCTCAGCTCAGCGCTGGCTGCCCTCCATCGCAACAGCAGCAGGGCAGAGCAACACAAGGGAAAAGCATCTTCTCTATAACTTAACACAATAATACAGGGGCTTGGATAAGTCTTGGTTTTACACCTGAGAAACAGAAAAACTGGATGTATTTTACTTTCTGAGAGGAAATAAAAAAACAGAAGCATCTTCCATCCACTCATAATTTCCTTGCTTTTGTTTTCCGACCCAATAATAGCTATATAAAAAAAATATATCTCTTAAAGGTATATATCAAGAGGCATTACAACCCAGCACCTACAGCGGGTAGCAGTACTTCTCTGTTGTGGTTTTAATGCCCATCAATATGTTTTAATAAAAAGATATTCGCCGTGTCTTGCTGTACTAAATGCTTTGTGTTATCACCCAGACCAGTGATACCACGAGTGGTCAGTAAACAAAACTGGTTTGAGTTGGGACTTTAAATTCATGTTGTTCTGCCACATCAAAGTGACGAGCTGTGGAAATACGGTTTGAACCCTGAAGACACCTCACGCTCCTGGCCTGCCCCAGTGCACGCCCCTGCCCATCTTGCTCCAGGGTCATTCGGAGCCGCAGCCCTGCTCTGTGTAAGAAAGGCGCAGGACAAGAGCTGTACCAGGAAGTTGTGGCCTGGTATGAAGGGCATGCTCCCGCCACGCTCCTCCTGGCCCCACTTCTCCTGCAGCTGCGTGTTCCTCACCACCGTGTTCTCGCCGAACCGGGGGTTGAAGTGGAAGGCAATCCCGTACTGGAAGCGCAGGTTGATGTGGAACCTGGCGAGGTGGAAGGTAGTGGTCAGCGACGGACTGAGAGCAGCAGGCCATGCTGGCTTTCTAGGCCATGACCTGCTGGGTACGGGACAGGGGTGGGACAGGGGTGAGATGGGTATGAGACAGGACATGTGTGGGACAGGTACGGGACAGGAAGGAGACTGGTATGGGACAGGTACAAGACAGCCCCCTCCTCTAGGACAGGCATCAGGAGAGAGAAGAATACCCTAAAAGCTTTCACCAAGAGCACAAGTGCTAACCAGATGTTGAAATCCAGTTACTGTGTCGAATCTGCTAAATGTCCTCCACTTCAATAAGAAATAAGAGAATTCTTCAGTTACTGCCGCGTGTCTGAGGTTGCAAGGCCACTTCTGCACACCGGAAAAAAAAAAACAACAGAAAAGGTACAAGACCTGCTGGCCTGAGGCTTGACGCGCCCCTGGATGGTGATGATCCTGCCAGGACAGAGGCCTCCGGGAATGAAGGTCTTATACGGCACAGCCTGGGGACACACAGAACATTACCACAGGGGCTGAAAGACCCCTGTCTCTCAGGGTCTCCTCTCCAGCCCAGCTGTCAGTCGTGGATTCAAACACCTGCCTGAACCCTCTCTCCCTGTCGAGAGCTGAAAACACTGGAAATGGTCTAAATGAGCCAGTAGCTATTTTAAATGAAGGGAATTAAGTCCTCAGGCCAGAAGAGACGAGTGTCTCTTACGAGCAGGGTTAAAACCACAGCACTGAAACACAAAAGAAGCCTATTCACATCAGTGGGGAAGCTGTAGAGATGGTTAACAGCTTCATGTTCCTGGGTTCCTTCATTACTAATGATTTAATGTGGTCCCAGCATGTAACTGGAGCTACAATGAAGGCACAGCAGCGCCTTCACTTCCTCAGACAGCTGATAAAGTTCAACTTCTTCTTACTACACTTTACAGGTGCGCTACTGAGAGTGTGGTCTGGCAGCAGCTCGTTGTCTGGCCAGAAGGCGTTACAGGGGGTGATCAGATTGGCTCCGTCCAATTGCTAAGGACAACATTCATCCTGGTGTCTCTCTTTTGAATTGTCAGGGTTCACCACAGTTCTTCACAGCTTCATTCTGTCACAGTTGCACCAGGCTGACCTCTGAATGACCCCAGCTCAGTAAGATTTCACAATGCAGCTAAGCAAACATTTTCATTCCTTAAACATTTTGTAATTTCCTTCTCCTGTTAAACAAGCCAAAGTTTCTAAATGAAACATCTAGCCTATTGCCAATTTGTGGAGTCCAAGTCACTGATTCAACAGAGGAACTGCCCTGAGACAGAGCTCTCGTTGCTCTTTACTCTACATGTTAAGAGTTTTTCACTACTCCTTTCCATTGCCTTCAACAAACCTGACAATACAGACATTTCAGAAGAAATGTGCTCCCCACACGTATAAGATATATAGAAGAACTAAAATATAATTAGATCATCTTAAAAATCATAAAAAGACCTGATTATGTGTAGGACCAAATAAATTTGGTTTATTAACACAACAGCTAATATGCTCGTGTAAACAAGTATGTGAACCTTCAGATTCAGTAACACAGGCCATCAGAGTTATCCACGCCAGTGTGTCCGGGGGAGGTGTGGAGTAAACTCACACAGACACACAGGGAACATGCGGCCTCCCCACAGAAGGACAGAATCGAAGCCCAGGACCCAAAAGCTGTGGGGCATGAGTGCACACAGCTGATCCACCCTGCCCGTCTCATTTGCTCTTTTGCAGTGATCCTGGCTGTATCCGGGTTGGTACAGCGTTACGTACAGAAAAAAAGACATTTCCAGTTTTTCATTTGTAAAACTGGTAACCCTCCTCAAAATCTCAAACTGGCACTGCGCTTAACACAGAAATGGTACTCACGTAGGTCTGTGGAGGAGTGTAGGCAGGAGGTGGCTGCAATGGAGAAGGAAGAACTCGTTACTGTATCTTTATTACCGCAGTCAATTAAAGCTGTTGAAGAAAGAGCTACAGATGGTGGCACACGTCTCTTCCTTCATGGTAAGCCAAGGACATTAAATACGAGAACTGTTTTTCTATAAAATTCGGTTTATTCCTGCAACACAAACATTTACTAGTTAACCACAGGGACAGACACAGAAAACCTGCAGAAGAGTTTTTCTCTTCGTTAGAAGCCCACAACCTTCGACAAAACAAGAAAAATAAAAAACAGCTCAGGCAAGCCAAAAGGGAAACAACTTCAAATACCTTCCTGTGACAGATAACGTCTCGTTAGTAAAAGCAAAATTAGCAACTGTGCACTTACATCTTGATCTATTCGCACGTGAAAGTTAGAAACCTGTATTGTGTAGAGGAGGGACTGAATACTGAGAAGTGAGAAGTTTTGTTTTTTTGAGAATTCCAGATTCCTGTTCTGGAAAATAAAAGTGACACAAAGTACTAAATGTCTTTTTATTCATAAATTCATACTAACCATTCCATAAGCCGGCATAGCAAATGCAGAGGAAACCTAAAATGAAAAAAGAGGTGTAATCAATTAATTACAGGTAAAAAAAATCAATACAAATGCATTTTTTTAGAAAAGCTTAGAGATCGAGTAAGAAATCAATCCCAAGGCCCCGTTCTGTGTTGAACATGATTTCAATTGCTTTACTTTCCTTTAAATTTTAGTAAAAAAAAACCCAAACCATCATCCGCAATAACAACCCCGATCTCTGCTTCGTGCAGGAGCTCTTACCAGGTATCCCAAGTGCTCCACAGGAATGCTGGCCAGCAGATGAAATTGCTTACACCTCCACCAGACTTTAAAAGTGAGATTTCAGAAGTATACCGCAGTGTCCCCGAGAATCCTCCACCGAATGTAATGCATGCTTACACTCAGCAGAGCTACTCAGGCCTGTGACACTTCACATCCACTCCCATGCAGAAAAAGTATTTATCTGCCCCCTTAATCAGTATAGCAATTGGGGAGCTGGTCATATCAAAGTACTGCAATCAAGTGGACCGAAAGGGACATCAGATGAGTAGCTCTTTTGACAAAGTAACATTATTGTACTTAATTGTTTGAGATGTGATCGGTTACTAGGTTGGTTTCTAGGATGGTTTCTAGGTTGGTTTCTAGGTTGGTTTCTAGGTTGGTTTCTAGGTTGGTTTCTAGGTTGGTTTCTGCCCTGCAGTACCTGTAAGTAAAATTGCACCCTTAATGAAATTCCCACTAGCTACACACAAAGCACTGCTCCATTTCTCACACACTGGCGGAGTGACAGTTCACAGTACAATCAGGCTGGCTCTTGCCTTTGCTCTATGTGGTGGCCAATGAGAAAATTCTAACAGCCTGTGCTGGTGTGATCATAACCAGAGCCAACTACCTGCATGAAACATATAAAGTATTCACTAAAAATAACAAATCGAATGCTAAACAACAGCATTTTAAAATGATCCCAGGAGACACAACAGTTCGCTGGGGCTAGCACTGTGGTAGCTCTTGTAACAGTCAAGTCTTGACCCTTCAGCTAGCACTGTGGACCAAAAACACAAAGCAGATTAAAAAGGCGTAGTGAACAGTACTGGAGCAGCATGGCAGACACGGGTATGTGTCATCAGCGCTAGTCCTGTGACTAAAAGCCCCGCTAGATGTGCTTCAGTGGAAGCCCAAGCCTATGGGAGCCAAGCAACTTCAGTGCCATCTTAGTGACGTCAGTATAATTGTATGTACTTACTGGGAAGGAAGGCTGAGCAGCAAACTGAGGCTAGGGACACAAAAAGAACAATTAGCTTGGCCCTACTTTCTGTGCCTTCAGAATGTCCGCAGGTTCGAATGATTAGACTCAATAACTGTATTTATCGATAGTAATTAATACGGTCCCTTACGTCACACATTCCCACAGCTTCTAACATTCCATCTTCCAGAGGGCTTCTACTACCTCCCACCAACAGCCATCCCAAGGGCAAAGCACAGAGCTGTCACGTACTGCAAATTCTCGCCCTTCAACGACCCCTGACCTCTCCTGGCCGGTTTACAGTGCTCTTGACTGTTACACGAACAGACGAGAAGCCCTCTCAGCACACAACCCTGAAGCAGCAGGTAAGAGTGAAGTACGAGATGGACTACAGGTAGCAGGTACTGTATAAAGCCCGGCCACACTCCATACTCCACACTGCAGCAGCCAGGAGACCGGGGAGGGCGGGGGAGGCCCCTCAGGCCCTCAGCAGGGCTGCGTGCTGCTCACCATGGGGTTCTGGAATGCAATGGAGTTCACCTCCACGCCGCCCTCCACCGAGATGGTGTCCACACTGCTGATGGAGATCCTGTGCTTGAAGTCCAGGAAGTGGCTTCCGTTGACGGCCACCTGGTTCAGTCGGTGGGACAGAAGCAGGGGCAGGAGCCACAGCACACAAAGAGGAAGGCAAAAAAGAGGAAAACTGACATCTCGACGCCCAAACTTCCCTCTGTCTGGCTCAGACAGAACATTTACACAAAAAAAAAAAACCCAGTGAAAGAAAAGGTTATGATCTAAGATGTTATTCTATTACACAATACATAGAATCTCATTTCATCTTTCAGATCGTAGTTTTCCAAATCCTGTTCAATAAAAACATCAGTTACAGCATCAAAAGTTAGAAGCTTCAGACCAATACAAGAGACACCTGCCCAGCCATATAAAGTACAGTATAACAGAACCCACAGAACAATAAATAAGCATGTTTAAAATAGGTTAACATGCACATAACATAGACATTTAATAACATATAACGAACAATAAGATACTTCTCTCACCATGTAGCCAGATATAACAGTATGACCAAAGTCACAAGTTAATAAACGGGCAGGATGATGAACGAACTGCAAGATCCTCTCCTCACCATGTACGTGTCACGGTTGACCATGATCATGAGGGTGAAGGGGGTACCCCTGGCCAGGGGCATCTCGTACTTGCGCTCCTCTGCCCCCCATGACTGGTTCTGCAGAGTGTTGCAGACCACGTAGTCCTGGAAGCCCTCGTAGCGCGGGTTGAAGTGGAAGGCGATGTCGGCGCGTGGGTTCTTGCGGGAGCCGCACTGCAGATTCACGTGGAACCTGTCGAGGGGGCAGAGGCGACATGGAGGCCCTCTCCCAGAGCTCTTCCAGGGCCAGGTGGCCTGAGGAACCGCATTTAACTGACACAGAGGGATATTCTGGTCTAACAATGCAGGGCGTGTTACACACAGCACAGAGGAAGCGTCTCTCAGGCCTCTGGGTCAGCCCACATTCTTGTATATTTAAGATATGAAACGTAATTAGATCATCGTAAAAGTCTTAAAGATGGCGTGATTATAACTGGCACACTCAGGATTATTACTGGGAATACAAAACGATCCCTCAGTAAATATCCTCATGTGAATATGTATTGTATGTAAATCATTCATACACATTCAGTTACTTGTGGGACCTTCTTCACCTGCAGTGATGTTTCCTACAGCTGTTTATCAGACTCTCGAATCCACTTTTAGGAGTTTTTGTCAATTTGTGGGTTACAGAGGCCAGAGACCTCTTGCTCACAAGCACTGTAATCCCCTGCAGGATTCACTGTTTTTAATTTCTCCCCTTCCAGGGATGCTTCCTGCTGAGATCGGGGCTTCTGTCCCCCAAGCAGCCCATCCAAGGAGCGGTCTCGAGCTGCCACCTCACGCACCCACAAGGACTGTGACACTGCGGGACCCCTGAACCCTAAAAGCTCCGGGGCCCCAGCTGCTGCCTCCAGATCCAGTAGCAGGTAAACCCCCTTCTCCCGTCCCGCAGGGAGGCAACTGCAAACGGCCCATTTGCTCGGGCTGTGGTTTTGCTCGCCCAGTCGGTCCTTTACAACTTTGCGTTTGTGTGTCGAACGCCTGCTGGCGTGTGTCAATGGGGAACCCCCCTCCCCCCAGAGAGGGACCCACCTCTCGGCGCCGGGCAGGACTCGTCCCGTCACCGTGATCGCCTTCCCTTCCTGCAGGCCCCCCTGGATAGAGCCCGTGAAGGGGATTTTCTGAGGAAACACACAGACAGGAGAGAAGAGTGTGAACCAGCAGCTACTGATCAAGGACAGGCTGGTCAATCTGTTTTCCACCATCCACCCATCCATTTTCTAACTGTTTCTCCCGGCTCAGGGCTGCTGGGGAGCGGGCGTTTATCCCGACAAGCGAGGGGCGCAAGGCAGGGTACATCCTGGGCGGGACACACAGACACACACACTCACTACTTTTCCCAGCTGCCAACTCACCTACCAGCAAGTCTTTGGACTGTGGGAGGAAACCGGAGCATCCAGAGGAAAGACGAACATGGGGCGAACATTCAAACTCCACATATATAGTTCCCCAGGCATTGAACCCAGGGCCTCAGTGCTGTGTACCAGCAATGCAAACCACACTGCACCACCATGCCACCCCAGTTTCAAACAACCAGTATTCTCACATGGCACCCTTCAGAGCAGAGCCATATCAAGGCACTTCGGTGAGTTTAGTTGTCTGTGTTGTCATTCTCGCTGGCCAGGAAGTGGCATATGTACAATGTCAGATGCTTCTGTTTGCTGCCAGAGTTAAGAGGCTGTCAGATCACATCCAGGAAAGAGGGCACAATTAGCAAATGGAACCCTGCAGGTGAAAAACATCAATACCACTTAACAGCAGCAGAGCCACTGTGATATGTCACATCCAAGAGATCTGCAATCCTAAAAGCACAGCAATCCCACTAAAACCAGACACACAGCAGTGTGCTTCATAGTGCAGCAAATTAGGGGTCCTTTTCATGACAATTCACTGTATTGCAAATAAGCATTATGCATTCCAATTGACAACCTAAAGAAAGGAGCTCCATGCTGTTTGCACAACAAATAATGCAAACAGAAAAAGCAGAACTCTTTGATGCCACAAAGCATATCAGTACCCACTTCCTGGAAACTGTGGCAGTGAAGGTCCCATTGAAAGTGCTCAGTATGCAACTGTTAATATTTCTCACAAGCTATCCATTGTCAGAAATGGATTATGTCAGTATGTTCCTGCTGAAATAGCAGTACATATTACTCTAAAAAGTTCCCTGATACTGTTGACTGTTGCTTTTGTGCATGTGTAAAACCACGTGAAATGCAGATGTTTCTAATCTTTCCAAATGCAAATCTTGCACAAATGTTGCATAGATCTCTTTTGCCAAAAGGCAGAGGACAAATCATACATTCTAGAAGAAACTTTTGAAACTCAAATATAACTCGCAGGAGGACCCTTATTAAGCCCATGTTCCAGGAGGAAGGTTTATAAATTGTAACAGTTATATGAAAGATCCTCTTCGAAATAAGGATGTTCTTTTTTTTTATTCAAAAAATGAAAGAAGAATATGTATTAATCTCAGGTGAGTAGCTGTGTCAGCATGCATAGGCTGCAAAGGAACAATAGGTTTATTCCATGCTGAAAAGAGAAGAAAAAAAACAACGTTTCAGCCGTGGAGCCTTCTTCAGGAGTGAGGGCCTGAAGAAGGCTCCACAGCCGAAACGTTGAGTTTACTTGTTCTTCTTACTTATTAACTTATTACTTACTACTTGTTTCAGTGTATTTATCTCTCCCTTCTTAGACACACAAAGCTAAAAACAAGAAGTAACTGGTTTCGTTCACGTGGTTAACAGAAGGATTAAAGATTAATTTAAATTTGGAGGATCTGGCCGGTTTACCGTCCCCAACTGACTCCCCCATAACGACTTCCAATTTATGGTGCCCCCCCCACTCAAAACCTACACCCCAACCTCCCCACCCTCAAATTAAAAAAACACCAAACGCCATTTCCTGAAAAAATCGGCTCGGGAAAACGCGATCTGTGCCATCGTAACAAGTATAATAAAAACGTTTTATTAGTTATAGTTGTACTAACAAAGCCAAAAAACGCGATTGACTGGTCTAATGTATTATGCAAAGATTTAAAATACGACGTGCCAAAACAAAAATATCTCATATAAGGAAACAGCTTTTGTTGCAGTGTAAACTGTCTTTATTCTCGGTGACAAATTTTGCATTATACTGATACGCCGAAGTACAATTCACATCAACGACTTGATTTTTAAAAGGATGCAGAATAAGAACTATAATTTTTTTCAAAGCTTGATTAAAATAACTAGAACACTTTTAATTCGATACATATAGTTTTTAAAATAATACACAGTGCATTTTATATATAACAATAAAGCTTAAAAGAGTACGAAATCGCGGTAAAAACATGAGAAAGGTTCTTATGTCCATAATGTCATAATTTGATACCCAGACAGGTATCCAACACAAATCATACTGTATAAATCAATTCTACATGTGCTTCTTATTGTATCCTTTTAGAAAAGTAACTTAAGAGGAAGCTATTTTAAATAAAGCTAATATACATTATTAGTAAAACAAAATCATTTTTAAGATGTCCCTATTTATAAACCCCCTGAAGAAATGTCGTTTCTAATTCATTTAATTAGCAGGACAGTGGTGTAATATTTCAGTATCACAGTTATTTACTGCGTTACATATACGTATCAGAGCAAAGTGCCAATGGGTTTTCCGCTCTGCCTCTACATGTAAGAAACGCAGCAGGCTATAAAAATTGAGTAAGCACAGTTTCCAGCGACTCTCCTGTTTTTGTGGCATATTTGGGATAGGTTAGGATTTACATACCGGGCTGAGGAAGGGCTGTTGGTTATAGAAAGCCATCGGATCCAGTTGGTGCGCTGCTGTCCGGCGAAGTTCCACCAGAGCAAGTGGGTGTATTTATGCAAGGTCGAGCCTGTTATCTTAAGTTTCGTTTTCCCCAGCTGCAATAAATCTCCAATTAATACAGGGATTAAAGGGTGGTGATAAGAATATTTAAAGATGTGTTTTGTCACAAGGCAAATCAGGTGATATGTTCCATCCACCGGACTGATGGTACTTTTTTTATTTCCTGTATTAATTTTTTTTGTCTCGTTATTTTTGATATTTCCGTTCTTACTTGATATTTCCACGACCTCGAGTCATACCCACTCGAAAAGTTAAGCTTTTTGCGGTATTAGCACCGTGGTATAACAGAGAAGGATATAAATTATTTTCTAAGTGCAGCCACCCACCTCTCCTCCGGGCACCATTTTCTTAAAACGTTTGCCTTCAAATTCCGATTGACATGGCAAGACGTTCAAAGTTTATATCCAGCACTTCACAGAGCTCAGAAACGTTTGATCTTGCAACAGATCTTTGATTTAACACCATCAACAACAGGGAATACATGTGCCTCAGATTCACATACATGAGATGTGGTTCTGTGTGGCATCTCTGAATAAATTCAACTATTTGAAACGGACTAACTCAGACACTCTGTCTCCTTCTCGCTATGGGTGCCTTATCACAGCCTGGGGGGACAGGACAGTACCAGAAGGTCCAGGTGGTTCTGGTGTGCAAAGGAAAAGTTCTTCTCAGCAAGAGATTCTGCCTGACAAGTCCTGACAGACGAGTCCTCAGCCAGACCCCTGGTGGAAGTATTTTGTTGGCCAAGACTTTCCACCTCGAAGTTTCAAGCAGCAGTTAGCTTAACATTTATTAGAAAGACAGATCTTGTCATAATAATTTGCTAAGAGCTGCACTGCTATTCTCTTCTGAATCGAATACATTGGCCCACCTTTTCCAATTCCATAACACAGAATGACTGGCAGACTATCTTTCAAAACCTTTAATGGTAACCAGGGAGACAACCAGAAAATCAGACACACAGTGACAGAGCCTCTCCTCTAACTGGAGACCTTGCAGTGTTCTGTAATGTGTCTGTGTAACACCCAATTTAACTCAAGGAATATACACCTTGGCACAGCAAATAGGCTAGTCCAGTATTTGGTGTTGAACCCTCTGAGGATTTTAGAACACAGTGGACCAACACAGATCTTATCTTATCACAGCGAGGTGTGAAGCCTGCAATGAGACAATCTGAGCGCTGGCGGGTTCTTACCACATACGGTATGATCACCCTTGCAAACATTTTTCAGTTTTTACCACAAGCACATCATTCTTTTACTTTGCTTTACCATTCATTCACTGTGGTGTAATGCTGCAAAGTGCTTTGACCATCATTTACTACAGCGGATGTTAACAAGGAGAATCAAAGCTGTTGTGAATGCAGATCTTATTGTCCAGTGTAAGACAATGCAATGCAATGCAGTGCAATGCTCGAAGGAGGTATATTTCCTTTGTATGTAACAGGTCAAAAGAAGCTTTTGCAATGTAAATAAAAAGTTGTTTTTTTTACTTTGTGTGCCAAAATGGAGCTTGCAGTGAGAGGAGTGGGGGCACAGAGGGAAATCTCGCTGGCTGAAAACCAGTTTCACTTTCACTTCGAGGGAAGCAGCAGGGCCTCCATTTTGTGCCCAACAGGGAGAAATCTTCCCTTTCGCTGTGCAGGAAGCAGCTACTGGGGAGATACTGTACGTACATTAACCATCGTTGAGACAGGATATGACTGTGTGATTATGAAATTCTGTGAAAGAATACATCACACCGTCTCACTTTTTGGATAAAGAACTAAAATCTGTTATTTACAGCCTCCTTTTAGAGGTGAATGTAGTTTTCCCAACCAAAGCACTAATGTCTATTTGCTGAAGGAGTATATAAACCAAGTCAAGGGCACTAGATGTACATAGGACACACCCATGCAACTGACGTCTTTCACACAGTTTCAATGTACATTTCTAGTACATGGAGATATTTTTATCACACAGTGTATTTGTACATACTCAGTGATGGTTCTATTTTTAAAGAGCCACTAAGAAGACAAGCCTTCTGTAAATGCTTAAGACCTAGATCAGTATTTTCAGCTCCAGAAGATGATTTTTATCTGTTTTTTTTATTTACAGGCAATATTGCATTTCAATTGATCACCTTTGCTTGGAAAGTAGACTATATGCACATGCTGTAATACTGCACATACTCTGTTACAGATGCATGCTGTGAAACATTCCCCTCTCCATAATATATCTGCACATATTTGCTTATTTCTCCCTATCCTCTTGACCTTCTGACATGTTTTGAGCTCTCAAGTTCTTTAATTAAAAAACAAAGCATCCTCTTTCACTGAATGAAGCAGGGCAAAAGTCTGGTTTGCTCAGACTGCGTGCCTGTAAGCTACAAATCCCAGGTATGAGAACACTGAAGCTCAACTTCAAATATAAACAGACTACATCCACACCAGGATCATCAAAGTGCTACTATGTCCATTCTGGTGAGTGTGCTGTAGAACATAGGACATATCTTTCTGCAGCGCTGAGAACAAGGGTGCCATTTAGGTGAAGCTGGATTTTTAGTCAAGACTCACATGAAAATCTAGTCCAAATGAGCACAGACCAAAAGACACATGTGCTTGTTGAAGTTCCTCCCACCCTTCTTTACAGACTTGTTGCTCAGAAACCAGCTTGTTACAGGAACACCTCTGGCACGAGCTAATCAGTGCACATCTCAGAGCCCATTGTTATTCGAACATTATTCTGTGCAGTGTTGGTGTTTTTTGGTGGCTATAGCAATTTTATAGATATTCAGAGTTCAGTTTGTGTTATACATCCTAAACACACACACAAAAAAAAGAATTACACAAAAGATTATGGAAACACATAGGGAATACATTCCACATACCGAGAGGCACTAAAAAATGCAACAGGTGAGAACAGATCCAATATGAAGATTTACAATCTTCTAAGATAATAAAACCCCTTGGAGAGGAGGATAAGAAAAGCAAGTCAGTCGGATAGGGGAGTCTGAGAATCAGGAGTCAAGCTCTTGGCTGCTCTGATGAAGAAAAATAGCTAAAATATACTGTAAATCATAACTAGGCAGTCACACTGAGTCAGAGGGTGAGCCATTCGTCTCAATATTGGCTCAGCAGAGAGGGACGAGCTATCATATTTCCACTCTACATCCTCACACTGGAGAGCACCAAGCACAAAAGACGCCAGGCAAGGTGAGGTATGGTGTCAAGGGTGACTTTTATTGGTGCGAGAGAGGGGCAGGAGAGGCGGCCTGAACACGTACAGAACAAACTCCACTCAGACAGTGCACTCCACAAGGCTGCATGGACAAACAGACATCCTTAGAGTCATTCTGACAGTCTTATATAAATGAGGCATTGTCAATACCCGAATGACAAACTTCTGCATTGTAGAAAATAGAATTTTTATACTGTACAAAGTTTACACCACATTCAGCAAGAAACAATGAAAACAAAAATACAGAAAAGAATTTTACAATTTACAAAATCGACGCTGAAGGATAGCCCCTCCGCGGTCGTGCCGTACGAACAGCACACTGCAAACAGATCTGGATTTGTTTTGGGTGTCTATAGGCGTGTTTCCTACCACAGTCCGATAAACAACCACAGCTTGCACAGGAGACTGGATCAGCATCACCCTGCTCTAAAGACACGGAATGACCACGGAAAGCAAATCAAAATCATCAACGAACGTGCCAATTCCAATCACTCGCTCTGGGAAAAATGACTGCAGAACAAAATACAAAGAAACCTCTTTGCACGACTGCATTTTGCTTCTTTTAAAGTTCACATTAACACCTTGTTTCAAGGCGTGTGATGACCGGACAGAAAAGAAGAAAAAAACGTTTGAACAATCTAAAATCACCTCCCACCAAATTTCAGTGTTAAGGGTTCAGGAACGTTCCAATGCCTGACCTGCCTTACACACACCGTTTTCATGAAAAAAAAAAGAGTTTTCCTTTTAAAAGTAAAAAAAAAAAATACACCACATACGTGTGCCAATAAATTCTTTAATCTACACTACATATAGAAAACTGTACATTCACAATTCATGTGAAAGATTGCACTTAAAGAGTTTGAGAAAGTAATATTTCCTTTTTTTTTTTGCTGTGGTGGCTGTTGCTGTAAAGCTGCATTCAGTAGACACAACCTGCCTTCTGCAGGTGAAAAACGGAGAATGTCACGTGGAGATTTAAACTTCATAAATAATGCTTGTGATCATCAAGTGTACGCTGACATTTCACCCACGTGTCAGCTTTAGCTGAAGGAAAAGACTGCTGCTCCCTCAGAGCTGCTGCTGTCACATGACGGCTGTATTTCCGGACGTGACCGAACCTGTCGGTGTCCCCTGGGTCACAGCGAGCCTGGGAGACGTGGTACTGTGTCTCCCACCCACTCCGATGTGTGGCTCCAAGACAACGATTCTAAAAACAGGAGATTCGCCAAACCAGTTCACCCATCCTCCCCCTGTTTAATAAAAACATCCTCCGTGCTTTCTTCCCCCTACTGCCCCAGAGTTTGCAGAAGGTGGGTGGTAACAGCCCTGGTTCTCCAAGCCCCATTCTCATCGTCAGTGAGATGTCGTGGAAGGTGGTGTAAGGAGATTTGGGAGACAGGAATAAGACGCCTTTCCTAAGTCGACCCCAGCTGACATAGTGCCTCACACCATTGTAATTGATTTTTAAAAAGCCCCATTACTTCAGTTTTATTGCGTGAGGTTGTACAGTAGCAGGGAGACTCTGGGGGGGGCATTCAGTCAGATGCTGTTGTAAGCGTGTGCTCTTGTACTGCCTTTGGAATTTACTGGATTTGGCACAACGCCTTTGTTCCTGTGCCAATCAAACTCCACCCTTCCCAGCGGACCAAAAAAAAAAATCTTGCTGGGAAAGTTTTCTTAAATTGAAATATTATCCACATCATGGTCTCCTAGAGTTATTTTTGCAGATTGTACTTCACCATCAGGAAATGAAAGCTGCAGAGACCGCCCGGCGATTTCGATTAGATACCATGTCTCCTTTTTGATGGTTTTAAGAAGCAGTGATGAAACCCCAAACTATTAGAAATACAACCGCCACGCCTCGGAGCTTGACGCTGGGCTTTACAGACATCGTTCCTCGACAAGGAGGACCCAAGTGATATTTTGGTCTCTGCTTAGTTTCTGCTAGACTATGCTCAGCTAAGCCATGCACTTTCACAAACAAACAACATAAATGAACTGAAGAGGAATCTGTTCGGCGTCTGCACCGACGTCAGGGCAGGTTTATGTAGAGTTGAAACAAACGTGCTGGGCTGTAGGCCCGTATCCCAGCTCGGGGGCGCCGAGGAAGAGCAGGACAGCGGCGGGTGCCAGGGAGATAGACTTCCAAGACCCTTTTCTAAGCCATACAGCGTGTCTGACATAGTTCGCCTCTAAAGGGTGGGTAGTAAGACGGGAAATCTAAAACAAACAAGCAAGGTCAAGGCAGAATGTTTTCTGAAGGATGCAGTTCATAACATCTCTCCCTTCCTCTGTGCCGCGACTTTAAAGCAGCATGTCTCCTGCAATGTTCTTAGAAACATCCGAGCTAAGAAGGAACTGCCTTAGGTTTTAGATATGATACTCATGGATAGATTTTCCCCTATATCAATTCCCCTATCATCAATTTCCCTTCAGGATTCATAAAGTCTTATCTATCTATATACAAATTCACTTTGTTCAAACGTATGGAATGCTTGAGGGAAACCGTAACTTTATTTAGGATGAAGCCATCTTATATCACCTGGCTCACTGACTTTGCTGCAGTCCTCCAAACTCTAATTCCAGAGAGCCTCCCAGGCGTCACTGCATCTCACTTCCGATTTCAAATAAACCTCATTTCCCAAAAACCAAATGTCGAGGAGAACAAACCCACGCTTGGCCTCTTTCAAGTCTGAAAGCCTTTTAACTTCGATTTGCACTGATGAATAATCACAAAAATCAATTTACTCAGTACAAAAAGGTTTACTTTGGCACTGCAGCCAGCTAAACCTGGCTCTGTCTGTAATCCTGAAGTCCTCATCTGTTTAACACACATTTAGAATAAGGCCTGTGGATTGTACAGGTGTACATTTTGAGATACCAGCCCATTCAGTTAGATTTCAACTCTTTACAATTTCTGGATAGAATAAAAGTGCATTTAAAAGGCAGCAATAAAGCCTTCATAAAAATAAAATGAAAATGAAACTGAGGAAATGCATGGCTTTAAAATGTTAAATTCTGGTTACTGAGATTTCTTCTTTTGAGGAACCAAAGACATGCAAACAGACTTACTGGTCCCCTACAGCTGATGTGTAGCAGTTTCGTATACTGCACTTGTCAGTCAGCGATTAAAGTATATTAAAGACTTCATTCATTAGTGAACTATGAAGCACTTGGAAAAATGGCAAGTTAGAATCATTAGGGTTTCTTTTACTATATACCCACAGAATTTGAAACTGCCAATTACAGTACGTCTGTGCATCTCAACTCACAGTGCCGAGCCCAGTACCGAGTACTGACGCAGAGAGAAATGAGGTGGCTTACACTGGCTCGTACGAACCACTCCTCCACTTACAGTGTGCTCAGGGAGGAACAGCTCGGCTGGTGGATGTGTCAGGCACTAACCCTAACCCTACCTGCATGTCCTCATTCTCCCTGTTCTGCATCCAAGCATCACTGAGAGCCAAGGCATACAAAAAGCATTCACTGTCTCTAATTGTACCTGAAAGACATTCTACCCGATACAAAGCCAAGATAATTTGGGTGCCTTATTTCCAAGTGCTTCATTTTCAGATGGATATTAATCTGAATATCCCACTCCTACCCACCTGGGTA